GATAAGTGTATTGTTTATTATATTATTCATAATTCGAGTCTCGTGCTCATTATTTGTTTAATGATTTTTTTTTTATTGACAAAATAAACACTCAACATTAAAATAAATGACAGTTTCAAGACCCCAATTAAGGTGTTTCCTTTATTAATAATAGTATAGATATAGATATGCATCAGAATCATTGCTTAGATGCTAAAATTTCTCAGTACGTTTGGAATTGCCTTTTTAATAGACTCTTTAATTTTTAAATAAAAATTAAAAATGTATTTGGCTTTGGGTTTTTAAAAATAGTTTTTTAGTTTTTTATTTTATGTATGTTGTTATTTTCAGTAAATTTTTTATATTTTAGTCAATTTTTTTTAAATATCCTAATTTTAATGTATTTAAAAATTAAAATATTTATGAATAAATCTAATAAAAAACAAAAATATACTGAATTTTTTATTTTTTTGTATTTAGTGAATTTCTAAAAGATTCTTTTGACAAATTTTGTATTTTCAAATGTATCTAGGTTAAATGGACCTAAAAAGTAAAAAATAAAATTGATTAAAATATTTTTTAAAATTACTAAAAACCAAAAAATACAAATTAAATTGAAAACTCAAAAATTATTTTTGAAAATTGTTAAACCAAACAAAGTTGCTCTACTTAGAGAATGTTTGGGTTAATAAGCCAATACAAAAAATAAATTCATTCTCTTTACATTTTTTTACGTCTTTTTGTAAAAAATAAAATTAAAAATTAAAAAATCAATTCTCAAATGAATTCTTAATTAAATAAAAGTTAGTTGAATTTTTTTATCTTTAATAAATTATTTTTAATTTTTTTTACTTTTTATATTCTTCTACACTAGACCAAAATAAAAAAGGGCACTTTGTTCAAAAATCCAATTTTTAATTTTATTTGTCCAAAGGTCCACATTCTAAAACACTTTGTCTATAAGGACAATTTTCCATAAAATGACCAAACTATCCTTATATATATATACACACTAGTGTATGCCCGTGCCTAAAGGCACGGTGTAAATAATATTAAAATATAGTTGTAACTTATATGTATCATGTTGAAAGTTATGGAATCTGTGTCATTTTTTTTATAAAGATACTAAAAAAATAGAAAGAAATATTATTCTTGTTAAAAAACTTGTAACAATTTTGTTGATACCACACGCTATATAGAACTCAAATAAAATAATAACTCTCCCTAACCTCAATGCAAATTAAGAAATAAACATATAAGTTAACCCAGTTGCAGCTGATGCCATGTTACATGTAGCCATGGCCACTTCTCTCTCTCTCTCTCTCTCTCTCTCTGTCTGTAACTTTGTTCTTTCTCTCTCTGCATCTATCTATCTATCTATGAAGATGTTGTGAATGGTGGGTTTTAGATGATTCCAAAACAAAAACAAAAAAAAACTAAAATGATAACATTTAGGGGGAAGTTTTTTTTTTTTTTTTTTTTATGGTTTGTGGAAGGATTGAGATGTTATTATTATGGTTTGTAAGTTGTTATGAACATTACTAATATGGTTATTAAATTTATCTATGGTTAGTATTGTATCAATAAGGTTATTATGGATGCTTATTAGAATGTGTATGATCCCATTGTCAAAAATAAAATTTAAAAAAAAAAAAATTAGGCCTTAACAAACATGTTTTTTAGTTTATGCTTTCAAGAAATTTCAAACATTTTGTCTAAACCAAATGCATTTATTATTTATGATTTTTTAAAAATAAATAAAAACCAGTTTATAAAATATCTGTAAACATAAACAAAAAACGTAAGCGTTACCAAACGCTACCTAATTACTTCCTCTCCCCACCCAAACAAATTTAGTGGTTAATCAATATGTGTTTTTAATTATTTTTTTTTGAAAGTATAATAATAAAAAATTTAGTTTATTAGTTTTCTCTTCCCCAACCCATACATTTAATATATTGATTTCTTGATGTGCTTGAATTCTGTATGCCTAATTATAAAGGCATTGCTTGAGGGTGGAATGAAATTGTTGTCATTGTCCTGTGAAGTAATATTTTCTTGTCACTGTCCTTTGAAATCAAACCTATTTGAAATCAAACCTATTTTTCCTTAACCTTTTGGTATGATGATGTCAATAGTGGAATGAACAAGAGCCTAATTATAAAGGCATTGTAGTTTCTTCATTTTCATTTTGGTTTCATTTGAGAGTGGAATTGTTGTCATTGTCCCGTGAAGTAATATTTTCCTGTCATTGTCCTTTGAATGTTGCAAACATATTGATTTCTTGATGTGCTTGAATTCTGTATGATGATGTTGAGAGTGGAATGAACAAGAGCCTAATTATAAAGGCATTTGTAACGCCCTCAAAATAATACATAAAACCCCACATCCTTGACATGCATAGACATAAGAGAATAAAACATAATTCCATTCATCAGAGTATTAAGTACAAAAGTATTACATGTTGACATCAAAAGTAAATGCCCTACGGGCTTACAACTTTCCAAGTTAACACTTGGGTACAACAAAAGAAGAGTTCTAACTCTTTATACAAAATAAGCCTTTGGTTTGAATTTACATGTAATACCAAAAAGAGAATAACAAAAGATCCTTCAGTCTCTAAGCCTCTCAAGCTACGTCCTTGGAGATGGCATATCATCTGAACCTGAAAATGATGTCCCATATAGGGTAAGCCAAAGCCCAGTAGAGATATACTAAACCAGATATGAGCAATAACTAAAACATTAGCATATGATAAATGGCTAACACTTGTAAACCAACTTACAACACAATTCAGTTCCATGACAACTATGTACATGTTTCATTCCACTTTCTTTTTCTTAACCAATTCAATTCATAAACATGGCTCAGAACCTGGCCATTCAATTAAATGAGACTACATCTCATATTAAAACACTTCCATTATTCACAATTCAATGAGACTACAACTCATGTTAAAACACTTCCGATACTTCAATTATCTACGTTAGGCAAACGTAATTAGAGTTTCGGGACTTTCACCCTGGGCACTCCGGCCAACTTAGTTATCACTGGAGTCCATCCCCTATCTCCTCCTAAACAGGTTTGAGAATCCATCCTCTATCTCCTTTCAAACCATGGAGTACATCCTCTATCTCCTCCCAAACAATATACATATACAGTGTATTTAAACACTTATCATATACAATAATCAATCAATACACATATTCGATGTATTATTCCAACCGTCATATTCAATGACATATTCAATGTGATTAGTTTCAGTTTTCCCTAATCAACATATAGTGTCTACAACAATCAAGACTATCCTCCACCGATAGCCCAAAGCAGTTATCTCTAAACAGATAATAAATTTATCAAACAGATATTATATCAACATTTCCATGAGTGAGTGATTAATTAATCCAACTACACCATTCCATCTCATAATTTCTCAATTCCATTATTTCTGATCCAATTTCACATTTCCATAAATAATTTCATTAACTATACCAAAGACCTAATTTAACCTAACTTAGGCATTTTCTGAATATTGACTCAAAGGTCCAAATATCATCAATAACCAACAATAATTCCATTTTTCATAGTTTCACATACACATGGATTTTAACATTTGAAAGCCCCCTTTTTATAACTTAAAATTAAACCCTAACTTTTCCAAAATTACCATAATCCACCATTTATACAAAATACATAATATCTATGTCAAAACCCATAGAAAGGAGTAGGTTATCCCTACCTCAAGAGAAGAGACTCAAAGGAGATGAAGGTGAAAACCCAAGATGCTCCAAACACCAACTTTCTCGGATTGAAATGAAGCCCACACCAAGCTCCACACTTTTTACAAAGGGACTAGGGTAGGAGACCACTAGAGCTAGATGGATTTGTAGAGAGAAGGTATGTAGAGAGAGAGGGAGCAGCCGTTCTAGGGTTTGAAAGAAAGAAGAGATGAAAAAGTGAAGAAGAAACACGCTGCTGCAACTGATATATTCGAGGCTCGCTCGAGCGAAAGAGTGGTCGCTCGAGCGACCAGACACAAAGAAACCTTGCTCGAGCGTAGAAAGCCTCGCTCGAGCCAACAATTCAAAGCTTCAGGTCTGTAACCCAGAAGCACGCTCGAGCGAAGAAACCCAAAACATATAGCTCGCTAGCTCGAGCGAAGGAAAGCTCGCTCGAGCCAAGAAATGCAACTCTCAAGTCCAGAGCCGGACGCAGATGCAAGCTCGAGCGCAAGACTTCTCGCTCGAGCCACCAGATACAACACTCAACTCTCGCTCGAGCGTAGGGATCCTGGCTCGAGCGAAGGAACTAAAACATAGAGCTTGCTCGAGCGACAAAAGTCTCGCTCGAGCGAAGACACAAAAATCTGGGCAGCAACCATTTGCTCCCAATTACAACCAACCTTTTACAAACCTGCCCAATACATTCTAAAACTCAAATATAAGGAATTAAAGGATGAAAATGAAACATATACAATAACAGACATCTACGGAACTGAGTCCGGAATACAATAGCCAATGAAGGGAAAACCGAGATCACTATAGCATTGTAGTTTCTTCATTTTCATTTTGGTTTCAGTTTGAGAGTGGAATGAAATTGTTGTCATTGTCCTGTGAAGTAATATTTTGCTTTCATTTTCCTTTGAATGTTGCAAACATATTGATTTCTTGATGTGCTTGAATTCTTCTTTCCTTAAATTCTTCAGTTGAAGTTTCTAGCGTATTTAAATTTTGTCCTTCAACTTTTTTGTTTAATTGCTTCTTGAATTCTTCTTTCCTTCATTGAGGAGATATTATATAAACTTTTCTTTCCTCTCATTGCAATATACAATTGTTACTAACAATTATATATAATTTGTTCCTCAATGGGTTTGAATCATTAATTTCTGAAAATCAAGGGAACATTGCATCCATGCTTAGAATTGACAGACTGCAAACCATTAAACCAATGGAAAATCTGAAAACAAAGATTAGACAAGAAAAACAATATACAACAAGAGAGAGAGACAGAGAGAGCACTCACCGGCTGACATGGCTGTTCGAGTCTTCGCTGATGATCGCTAGTAAGAATATCAACAGTTTTCTTCGAATATTGCTCCACTGCCTTCATTTAACAGGTGCAGCGATTAGGTTCTACAAATTTCTTATGTCAAGAACTCAAAATGGGAATGGAAAATATCAGTCACCTTCAGGGTACTATCATGTGTTCTGATTGTGTTCATCAAAATCAAGGGAACATTGCATCCATGCTTAGAATTGACAGACTGCAAACCATTAAACCAATGGAAAATCTGAAAACAAAGATTAGACAAGAAAAACAATATACAACAAGAGAGAGAGATAGAGAGAGCACTCACCGGCTGACATGGCTGTTCGAGTCTTCGCTGATGATCGCTAGCAAGGATAATAGTAAAGTAACAGCAGAATTTCAGATACACCTGCACAGCCCGTAGTAACAGTTGAGTAAAATTAATCACGAATTCATGGCACCTTCGTAGTCTAGTTGTGTACACAGACTAAACTCACATTTTGCCAGTTCTTCTAATGAAATGAAACCAGAAAATTAACACTCATTTGCACGTTGTGGAACAGCAACTCCCATGCAGAGAACCTTATTGAGTTGGTACAACAGTCGCTTTTAGTCTCATTAACTTTAGACTATTGAATAAATGAGTCTCAATACTTCCATGACCCAGAAGCCAGCAAACTCAAAACTTATTTTAAAATTTGAAGCATTAGCTAGACAAATACAGGTCTAGATTACAACAAACATTTGTTTTGTTTATAACAATCTATAATTTTAAAATTCATTTTCTCTGCAAAAATTACCAACACACTTCAATCACGGAACATGTAACATATACATTTTAGTGCAAAGCTAGCTGATGCTCACTAAAACCAAAAGGGTCCTACGAACAAATTCACATGCATGGCAACTACGTACTGGTGTTCTGATCAGTGGTCCCCTTCTGCATAACTAATATTCAACAAGTTTTATGATTTCGTGGGATCTAATTCTTATAGTTCTACAGTCTATACTTTCAACAGAAAACATGTTTTATGAGTAAGTGCTGGTTTGGGATTTCTTGTTTTTGGTTTTTTGAAGGATTAAAAAGTTAATGTGTTTGGGAAATTATTAAAAAACTGTTACAGAGACAGCAGCACACAGCACACAACACGTTACAGAGACAGTAGCACACAGCACACAGCGGCAAACTGTCAAACTCAGCAAAGAGATACAGAGCAGATGTGCAAATCTGCACAGATTGTGGGAAAAGCAGCCAAACAGCACAGGTGTCCGACTGTAAAAACTGAACTGAGTATGAATTTGATTCTCAATTTGCTCTAACAGTTCATACAAAGTGTAGAGGAAATAAAAATTAGAAGGTTCAAATTACATGAAATTCAAGAGTAGGCATGAAATTCAAATTACAATTTCTTCAATATTCTTAATTGCCCTCATGACATCAACAAAACAAGCCAAACAAAGAAACAAACTGAGTTAAAATTCTAGGTCCGTATCTGCATCAAAATCACTTTCCATCTCATGTTCTTCGTCATCACCCGAGATTGTTAGGTCATCGTCGTCATCGCAGATGAAATCATTGTCCATAACACCCTTCGGTTGTACACGCTTATTGGACTGAGAAACTTCCATTGAAATAATTTGCGGTTCAATGTCATCCCGACGTAAAACAACAACATCATCAATAGGCTCAGTTGGTACAACAGTACTATTTTCATCATCTTGCAACACTTCCTCAAATTCTGGCACATCCAACTCTAGCACATCCCAAATTCGTCGATGTTGAAACTTTTCTACGACTCGCCAATTCGGCCCTAACTTCGTATCAGGAACGTAGAAAACTTGTTGAACTTGGCCTGGGAACACAAAGGAGTCATCTTTATACCATCGACTTCTTACATCAATAGTTGTCACATGTGGTTCGACACGCAAAGTTCGAGTACTACCGGTGTTATACCATTCACATTGGAACAAAACAACCCGGTGTCCAAACAAATATGTCAGTTCCCACACTTTACAAAGGTAGCCATAGAACTTGATCAACTGGCCTTGGTGGTCGCCTTCCACTACCAACCCACTATTTTGACATTTACGACGGTTATCACGGTCGATAGTATGGAATCGGACGCCATTACAAATGCATCCCGAATATGTATTGACTAAGGCATAGATGATCTCATACTATGATCATCAGGCTTATTCTCAACTGATTTGGTGGTTACGATTCGAGTTAGGGGAGAGCAAGGTTGAATTTGGTTTGGTTTTGAAGTAAACTAACATCGAATTATTAGCTATGGTTTTATGAAATTTGGAATCAAACTGAATCTTGAAAATATTGAAAGTTTTCAACCAAACTATGAAAATGGGATTCATTTCAATTTGGAACTACGATTTCTATAAATATATTTACATAAATGGAACTAAATTTCAAATAAAAATCATAACTATAAAATCATGGACCTAACTGTCAATAATTAGGATTGAATCGAACCGATTTGTGGTTTTTAAAAAAAACAATTTCTTTTACTTAATTCGAATTTGAGTCACACCATCGGAACGTTTGAAACATGTTCGATACAAAAAACAGAGGCACATTTATAATGATAAGACTAACTCAGGAAAAGCATCCAAAATCAACAAGGGTGTTCAAAAAACAGAGGCACATTTCGAACATTTTCGATACAAAAAACAGAGGCACATTTATAATGATAAGACTAAATCAGGAAAAGCATCCAAAATCAACAAGTGTGTTCAAAAAACAGAGGCACATTTCGAACATTTTCGAACTGATTTGGAACATTTCTCCAAAACAGAGGCACATTTAAACGATACAAAAAGAATCCAAATCCAAAATCGAAATGGACAATCTGCAATGTCAACCACACCCATTCACGAAGTTAGGAAAATCCCTAAAATTTTGTGTACGAAATAAATGGAAAATGAAAGGACAAAAACATGTCAAACCCTAAAAGTAATCGTCAGAGAAGGGGATGGGAGAGACATCGACAACCAGATAGAACTAGATCGACAGAGAGGGAGAGAGACGACAGAAACATACCTGCGATGGTGATGATCGCCGATTTGCAGTGGTGCTGGTGGCGAGCGCCGGTGGCCTGCGATGGTGATGATCGCAGGTGGTGAGCGACGGGTTTGGTAGGGACGGGTTTGGTATGTTGATGTCGGTGTGTGAGAGGGAGACAAAAGAGAACAAAACACTGTGTGTGGAATATATATGTACTGGGCGCGAAAATTATTTATTTTCCCTCTAAAAACAAAATTCGAACATTTAGCGACTAAACGACAATTTGTTGCCAAAATGCATGTTTGGCGACAAAAAATTGGTCGCCTAAAGATTCCTTTTTGGCTACTAAATTCAAAAATTCGTCAGCAATACTGAATATACAACGACTAACCCAGATTTGGTCATCAAAAAATAATCACAAAAATACCCTTTTTTTGGCGACAAAAATGTTTAGTCGCCAAATTAAACCATACGGCGACAAAATGAAATATTGGTAGCCTAAGTGGGTAACAACAGCGACTAAATGGAAACTTGGTCGCCAATGATACTATATGGCGACGAAAACACGTTAGTCGCCAAAAGGTTTCAATCAATGCCGACCGAAGCCGATATTTGGTCGATGAATGTGGTGTTTTTGGCGACTAAAATTGGTTTGGTCGCCAATTGTAGTCGCCAAACATGCATTTTCTTGTAGTGCAAATTGCCAAACATGGCCTAACATTCATTTAGCAAATGATCATTTTAGTCAAAAAAATCAAAAAATTATTTAAAATATTAAAAAAATAAATAAATTTTCAAATCATACAAAAAAGTCAAAAAAAATTCTCATTCACTCTACAAAGTTAAAATTGTTTTTCATTTACACTATTTTTTTAATAAAAAGATAAAAAATCATTCACATACATATTAATTTTGTTTGCCTCATATTAAAAAATTACTAAAAGAAAAGTCCCTTTCTCAACAAAACTCTTGTATTTATATAAATGCAAATGGATTCAATTCAATAGAACAAAAACTACCCAAAAAGTATGAGATTTTAGGTCGCGCTTGTTTTAGGTCTCCTTATTCATAATCAGGAGAGTGAAACCTTATATTATTAGATCGGTGATGTTACATGTATCAATTAGTGTACTAAATAGTATACCAATACTAGTGATGTCATTATTATTGACCCCACTCATTATACAAATTACAAATATCAAAAATTTCTTAAATTATGTCACATCATCAATTGGTACATTAATTAGTGCATATAGTTTATTCATTATTAGATATATAACAAACTAAAATTTAACACATGTAATCACATTATTGTAGATACGATTGTGGGACTTTTTTATGAATCTTAAACATCTTCCATAAAAAATTTGTTTATCTCGAAAAAAATATTGTGAGACCAGGCGTCTTTGTGATTGCCTTGTATAATACACCCCCACATTTTAAGGGTTCCATATGTTCAAATTATGACATTTATAATATTTAATTATAACTTATTATGGTGTTAATTATGACTTATAACTAATTGTAGTGTTAATAATAACTTATTGTGATGTTGGTCATCAAGTAAATCATTAATGAAAAAAATCATTAATCAAATATTTATAACCTTATAACAAGACCATATTATTTTGTAAAAAAATAAAGGACTATCATAGTTTTGATAATATCTTCAAAAATAATTAGAACTCGATCATAAAATTACAAATATCCGATTAACTTAATTTTTTACATAGATAATATGTTCAATAAATCTTCCAATATAAACAATTCAAATCATCAAAATAGACTTAAAATAAACCCCCACGAGATGTCACGGCAAGACCAACGGATCCCCATCGTGGGGCTAAGTATTTCATTTCATATATCTTTTGATTTGGTGGGTCATGCTACCACTATACACACCCCTTTGGGAGGATGTCATAAGTAAATCATTTTCAATTATAATTAAAAGAAAAATAATTAATCATAACTAAACAGTATATAAAATATAACTAAAAAGATTCAATCATAATAAAAATAATCACTACAATAAGTTACAACTAATATTACAATGAGTCATAACAAATATCATAATGAGACGTAACAAAATTACAATCAAAGTCATAAATAACACCACAATAAATCATAACCAAATATCACAAATATCACAACATATGATACATACCCTAAAAGAGGATGTGTATTATAGAATTTCCATTAGTTATATATGGTAAACTACTTATACATGTTGTCCAAATATCAGATACATGTGGCATATCCTTACACAAGTTTCATATGTCCCACGCCGAATTCACAAATTTAAAGAAACTAAAAGCAACGTAGACACCGGATATCAGAAATCAGTAAGCGATTATACATGATGTTCAATCAATATAGCTTCATGAGAGAATTTATGTAACAAGTCCAATTCAAATCATGGTTTTAAATACCGGCCGATACGCTACGTATCGGCCGATACGTATCGGAAAAATGGGGTGCCGCGACGGATACAAGCCGGTATATCGCTGAGATTGAAAATCGCAGGAGTATCGGCGAGTCCCGATACGTATCAGTCTGTAACCATTACACAAGCCGCGACGGGCCGATACTCACCGGTTCGGACCGGTACGGGAAATAAAAAGCTAAAAAACCTGTGAAATGATTTTTAAAATTTCA